ATCCTAAAAGAAAAAAACAATTTACCAACACTGGGAGGGCAAGCTACTTGATATAAACAGGGAGCAAACCTCACACTCACTTGCACTGATGATGTTGCCTAGTTGGATAATGGAAGGTCTGCAAGCAAAAAGCCAAGCTCAGAGAGCATCAAGGACCCTGAAAACTCAAAATAACTCCATCTTGATTTTATTTGATCTAGGATGGGATTGACAGAAACCCAGTCCGGCTTCCAAATTTAGCTATTTTGCCTTATAACAATAAAAAACATAACAATAAGTAATAAAGGAACCCCTGTTTGTCTGGTTCTGGGCCTGCACTAACTTGAAGGTCTGACACCAACCCCCCAATCCCTTTTTCATCTTATCAACCAGGATGACATTTCCAGAAGCTCATCCATCCATCATCATTAGTGTCAGGGTCATTGGGGTTACAGACTCCTTTCCTTGCACCCTGGGAGTAATCCCCTGGGTGGAGAAGGATTTAAGTTTAATAATTTTTCTAAAATGAAGATTCCAAAGGTATTAAAAGAATCATGCCTTGGTGTTGGATATTTCATTTGTTTGAAAGTTCAGTTAAACATTGTTTGCATTTCAATTAGACATTGTTTGCATTGTACACACTTACAGTGTGGAATACAACATTAATATTTTCTGCTACACTGGTGAGTTTTAATGCTAGTTGTGGCTTCATGCCTCATTGCCTTTTGATTAGAGGCTGGTGTGACTTTAAGAAAGTTAGAAGCTTTTGCTTCATTTTCATTTGTCTTTCATTTAGTGCATTATCTGAACTTGAAAATGTCTTATTGGTTGAAATAAATCAGTTTTAGATATATTTATGTGTACATTAAACTGTAATTAGTTTTTACATCTCTGTCAGCAATATAATTCCTTTTCACACTTTAGATTTAATTTGTGTCATTCCTGGTGTTTTCAGAGAAAAGAACAGAAGTCACAGTTGTAGTGGGATTGAAATAAAGCAAATAGAATTGAATTGGATCTCTGAAGAATGTAGTGGATGCAGTATATATATTGTGAATTTTGGCTGTATGCTTTGGGGCCCCTTTTTTTGAGGGGACGATGGAAATAAATTGCTTCCTAGAATCAGATATCTCTTTTATATTACCATTTGTCCACCCCTTCCTTATATCTGTTACCAGAGTTTTATTGGTATAAGGAAATTGGGCTTCCCAGTGAATTATAGATGCAGTGAAAATTATTCTTTGAGATAAACATACTTAATTAAATCTCTCTAAAATACTACTTCTTTAGCTGAATTTAATTTTGAACTGGGCAGTTTCCTTGGGCTAACACTGGGAGAAGCGAGCTTAAATGCCCTGTAAATTTGATTTACATGCTGTTCTCTTGTTTTCTGATAAAGTTTGAAAGAAGCTATGGAGGCACACAGTATTTTGTAAAACGATATAGGGAAATGTTTAATTACCTCATTGTGCCATTATTGTTTATATAAATTGACTATTTCCAAACTTCAAAATTTTGGGACAGCAGCTTTCTTATCTTTGCATAACTGAATCTTTAAAGAGAAAATAAGTGCTTTGGTTTGTTATATGCCATGTGTCCATACATTGGTGCAAATGCTAACCTATGATATTTGTTGTCTGATAAAATACCTTCACTTACATTTTCTTATTATATATTAACTCTCTGAAACCGACCAACATATATTTTAGGGTCTGGAAATCAGCCAGATGTGACTTCTGTGAAGATTGAAGACTTCAGTGGTGTTCAGGAGATGTCTACAAAAAGTCTTATTTTAGGACCTCTCAGTCTTCGACTTGATAGCAGTGCAGTGCACAGAATTATTAAAATGATTGTTTGTGCTCTGGAACATGAATATGAACCTTATAGCAAGTCTAAATTAGGTATGTTTTGTGAATTTTGAACTTTTAAAAACAAGATAGCTGAGTTTTCATTGAAAAAATATTAAGGATAAACATGCATGTGGAAAACTAACTTCTGTGAGATTTCAGCTGAGTGTTGCCCACTGTTGTCCTACAGTTAGTCCATTTTATTATCTGCTGAAGGAATTGATTTGCTGAACCTTTTGAGAATTTAAAAGGACAAGTATTGTGATATATTGTAGTACACTATATATTACTTTAAAGTATACTTTAAAATGGTAATTTTTTGAAGATCCTGCATAATAGGAAACATGTCCACTCAGGCATATCTTCAAAATTATTATTTAAATAAAAGCATGTCACTTTACAAAGAACAAAATTGATTTAGTAAGGAGAGAAGAAAAACAAGGGAAGAATATGCTTACAGTAAGCTATAAGTCTTTCAAGCAGATATGAACATTTTTCTGTTCATGACATGCATTATTTATTGATTTATTTAACAATACAGGTACATAAATCCCTATATAGTAGTTCAGCATATGATACAATTATAAACAATTAAAATAATAAATATGATTGTCCAAACAAAGCTACTGTGATAACCAGTCTGAGCTTGAGAGCAGGGTCAAATGCATCATCTGTATTTTGGATGGAACCCCTCTGCCCCCCAAGAGACCTAAGCCTAGCCCCCCCCCTTGAACTCCATTGAATCTTATCTGTTACCAATTTACCTTGACTGTTAGTAGATCAGATTCTTGTACAGGCTGCATAACTTCCAATACTTTTGAACTCTATCCTGGCTCTTGCGACTGAGAGCTACAAGTTGATAGCTTGCTGAAATGGTACTATTTTAATTGCTTTTCTGGATCTGGTGGTGATGGTGGTGGTACTAGTGATAATGGTGGTGGTGGTTACCCTCAAATACTTTCCCCAGATGTTTGTAATCCAACAGGCAGATTCTATTTTGGCAATGTATTCCCTGATATATCCCAGTATTATGCCATTAACAGCTTTAAAGGTGAGGAACAGCACTTTCTGTTGGGCCAGGAAGCATACTGATAACCAGTGCCAAGATTCAAAGCAGGGGTTATTCATTCTGCACTAACTGTGTAACCTTATCTGCATTCTACTTGCTGTGTTCTTTACTAGTTGTAAAAGTAGCCCCACTTTGTGTGTGTTCTAGCAGCCTAAATTCATGATTATTAGATTGTGTACCTGTTTGCCTGTTGTTAACCTGGTTAATTGGAGCACCATCTCTTTCATCTGCTATTCAAGAGTCCAAAGCAAGCCTAAATTATGATCTGACTTGTTACATCTAAATTAAGACAAATTGATAAAATGAAATATTGATGATACTATAGATCAGGGGTGTCAAACTTGTGTCGTCACGTCATCACGCAACATATTATGACTTCCCTCTTCTCTAAAATGGGGGTGGGCATGGCCAGGGCATGAAGCATCTGGTCCATGGGCCACGAGTTTGACAACCCCTGCTAGAGACATTTATTTTGGTCATTACGTTAAATTTAACCAGGTCTTATTATTATAGATTTTATAGAAGGAGCCAAAGTTTTGCCAAACACAGAAGAAGCTGCTGCCTTAGAGGAATATATTCCAACTCGGATCACAACCTTTACCATTTTGAAATGCACTGTCACTATTCCTAAGGCTGAATTCAACCTGCTTGCCCATTTATTGCCTGTCATCATGGGTCAAAAGGTGCTATAAATTTACAAACTATTTATAACTAATATCTGTGCTTTGGGGTAGATATTCTTTTCATGTAGTCTTAACATAGTTTGTGTGCATTTGTACACATGCTAAATTTATAATAAAGTAGATGAGCTTGAGTTATATATAAACTATATTTGGAATTATATAGTTTAAAACTTCCAAGTTTTAAATATAACTTTATCCATGTATTTTGTGTCCTATATCCTGAAGAGTTCAAGCAGCTTCTTAACTACAACAAATCTTCAGTTGCTACGGCCTCTGCCTTGTCTTCGAATATTAGTAGATAAAATGATCCTGGAACATTCAGTGCCAATGTATGCCGATCAACTTGTGCAATATGTCAGCAGCCTTAATCAACCATCTGATAATTTACTTCACTATTGCTATACGCACTGCTATCTTAAGGTTTGTTTTATTCTTTTTTTCTGTTCAGTAAATAATGTAGGACAGCCCACTATCTTCTTAGTAATGCAACAGGAACATATGACTGCTTTATGATATTATGGGCCATTGGTTCCAAGATATAGTAAATCATGCTGTCTTCCTTGCATTTTTCTACTTAGACTTTCTAAAATATGTAGAAAAGCAAGAATCTCATGGCATTGAAATGAAAAAAAATATGCAAATGAAAAAAGCCCCAAATGTTTATATTTTGTTATTGACTATGTTATTTCTTTTTAAAGATATTTGGTTTTCAGGCGGGATTGACATCATTGGATATTAATGGATCTTATAGTTTACCAATTCCAGTAATTCCTTCATTCAGCACAGCTGTATATGGCAAAATGCTTAAACTACCTAAATACTGGTAAGCATTTCAGAATGTGTGTATATGTATAAATGCAATCTGTCAATCGGGATCCATAATTTTTTGATCATGGACATTTATTAAATAAATTCCTTACATCAATCTGTATTTTTCAGCCTCCGGCTATGATTTGGCTAGATTAAATTTTCAACATTTTTTTTTCATTTTAATACCAACAATAATTTAAAATAAGGCAAAAAATTAGAGGATACAAGTAGTCCTTACTTAACAACCTGTCACAAATCAGATGCTTTATGGTCCCTAAAGTTCCCCGGCCATCGTAAATGTTTGCATCCTTCCGATCCTTGTTGTCACAGGACTGCATGTTAGACAGGTCAGCTTTTACAACTTGTTGTGGCATACCATGCTCATGTGACCATGATTCATTGTTTTATTTCTGGCTTTTTTTTTTGCTGGTTAGTGGCAAAAGACATCCATTTAAATGAATGGGTTTCCTTAGCAATTGCAGCATTCACTTAATGAATGCAGCATCCGCATTTGCTTAATGACCTCTGTAAAAAAGGCTGGAAAATTACTTCCATTCACATGGTTGAATTAACTTAAGGCCATGACTTACAAGGTTGTTGAGGACTAGCTGTGGTAATGGAGTGGGAATAAATGAATATTACAACCAGATTGCTAAATGTAGTCTACAACGAATAGAACTCCAGATGAAATACATCAAATGGTATTTGAACTGATTTATCCAAATCAGCCTGCAGACTGAGAGCTTCATTTAAAGTCATTTAGTGAATGGGAACTAGTCCTGAAGAATAACCTGGTAATGTGATTAAACTTGCATGTGCACTTTGTTTTTTTAAATTATACCACCTGCTTTAACTGGGTTTCGAGATTTTACACATCAGTGTTGCTTAAAGTCTACACATTGGATGAGACACATGTTCTACATATCCAACAGACCATCATTTTTAAAAAACAAAGCTATTTTATGAACATTATAGAATTCCTCTTGTATGTTTTTTTGAATAATGATTGAAAATCTCAATTTTATTTCTTGGATAAACCTGCAATGTAGCTTTCTTTGTTTTTATTTAAAAATATTTTGAAACATTATGTATCAGTATATATTATTACTGTAATATTTGCACTAGAATATTTCATTGCCTGGATGAAATAACACCTTTAAAAATATTTGTCACTATTAAACAACATATTTGGAATTAGTAGCCAAAAAGGTTATTACTAGGTATGCTACTTTTGGTTGGTTGGTTGTGATGCTACATGACTAGAGCAGAGGATTCTGGGTAATACATGGACATCTGTATTAAATTGTGATAAAATTCTAAAGTTACTGCCACTTGAAACCATTTTAACAAACTATGTATGTAACTTGTTTACTTATTTCTTGGCCTTATATCTTATGTTTTCTAATTAAAGCATCATAACTAACATTTTAATACTTAGAAAGTGTTAACTTTAAATTGTAATGCTTAGGAAGGGCATTAGAAGGGTTATTATTTTACTTTATTGTTTTAATCATGAATTTGTGGAAAGTCAATAAACTCCAACATATTGATTTTGCCTGGTGACTGTGAGTTCAATGCAGTTGTATGCAAATGATACCAAGTTTCTGGTGTTGCATCAGAAATATCCAGTAAGCCTGTTTAATCCTTCAGATGACAAAAATGGATGTGGTACTCATATGTGGTCTGTGAGATAGTAGTGACTGAGGCATGTTTTAAATCTGGCTCGCTTGTTGGGAGAAAGTAGCTGGCTGTTGGCTATAGAGAAAGAGCATGATGCCTATTCTTTCATTTCATTTCATTTTCATTTATTAAAATTTATAGGCCGCCCTTTTCCCTGAGGGGACTCAGGGCGGCTTACAATCACAAGGGAGGGGGGTGGAGTATCAAAAAACAAAACAAAATGTGAACAGAGAAAAATAATAAAACACAACTTTCGTTCAGCAATCAAACACTCGGGTGGGTGAATTGGGAACCTATCCCCAGGCCTGCTGGGAGAGCCAGATCTTGAGGGCTGCGCGGAAGGTCTGGATGGTGGTGAGGGTACGGATCTCAACGGGGAGATCGTTCCACAGGGTCGGAGCTGCAACAGAAAAGGCTCTCCTCCGTGTGGTCGCCAGTCGGCATTGACTGGCAGATGGGATTCGGAGGAGGCCCAGTCTGTGCGATCTAATTGGTCGAAGGGAGGTAATCGGCAGAAGGCGGTCTCTCAAGTACCCAGATCCACTACCATGGAGTGCTTTAAAGGTGGTCATCAGTACCCTGAAGCGCACCTGGAGACCGACAGGTAGCCAGTGCAGCTCGCGGAGGACGGGTGTAACGTGGGCGAACCGCGGTGCGCCCACTATCACTCGCGCGGCTGCATTCTGGACTAACTGTAGTCGCCGGATGCACTTCAAGGGCAACCCCATGTAGAGCCCATTGCAGTATTCCAGCCTAGAGATCACAAGGGCTCGAGTGACTGTTGTGAGAGCCTCCCGGTCTAGGTAGGGCCGCAACTGGCGGACCAGGCGAACCTGGGCAAATGCCCCCCTGGTCACAGCTGACAGCTGGTGGTCAAAAGTCAGCTGTGGGTCCAGGAGGACTCCTAAGTTGCGGACCCTATCTGAGGGGTATAAAATTTGACCCCCCAGCCTAAGTGTTGGTACATTAGCCAAATTATTGGGAGGGAAGCACAACAGCCACTCGGTCTTGTCCGGGTTGAGTACCAGTTTGTTGGCGCTCATCCAGTTCTTAACGGCCTCAAGACCCTGGTTCATCACGTCCACCGCTTCATTGAGTTTCTTTGATGCAGTAACTTTAATTGGGGTTTATACATATATATCCTCCTGAGGAAATAAATATGTTTTAAGAACAAAAGGAATGTAACTAGAACAAACCATGCTTGTACAACATGGGTATTTTTAAACAAAGTTAAGATAGGTCTGCAGTAAACTCTAATTTGTTTCAAATCAAAATGGAAAATAGAGGAACTGTAGTATGAATGTTGGAATTGATGTACAACAGGAGTGTCAAACTCAAGGCTCGCTGGCCAGATCCGGCTCATGGGGCGCTTAGATCTGGCCCACGAGGCCACTCTGGAAACAGCAAAGGACCGGCCCGTGGTGCCTCTGCAAACAACAACGGAGCCGTGTGCGCCCCCCTGCACCCCGTTTTATTCTTCTTGCATGCTCAGATGCAAAAGGGAGTTTCCCTTTTGCTTTGGAGCATACAAGAAGGGACAGGAAAGGAGAAAGTTAAAGAAGGAAAAATGGGAAGAGAGCAAGAAGGAAAAATAAGCAAAGAGGAGAAGAAAAAAGAAAGGAGAATGAAGAGGGAAGGAAAAAGAAGAATGGAAGGGAAGGAAGGAAGGAAAGGAGAGGGAGGGTGGTTGTCAGGGAAAGCCTGCCTTACCTGGCCACCACAGGTGCCCCTGACACAAGTCCTGTGTCACACCCACCATGGCCACGCCCACCCTCCAAGATCAAACACAACCTTAATGTGGCCCTCAGTGAAATAAGAGTTTTACACCCCTGATCTACAACATTCTTCAGGGCTTGTTATGACTGTATTTGAAGGAATGGCCTTTCTTATATACTCATAGCTATTGCCAAGACCATCTTCAGGAGCTCTGGTTTGGGTGATCTCCCATTCACCCACTTATCAGTGAGCAAGCTTGTTCATTAATTTTATTTCTTATTTATTTTTTATTTGGATTATGATTTTTTGCTATAGATATTTTGTTCTTAAAGTTCATAATTTATATTTGTCAACGGGAGTTGAAGAATTATTGTATTTCCATGTAACAACATAAAGTATACAGTTAACATTTGTGTGCATTTGTGTGCATGTGCTTACACATAGTTTTATATGCATTCTTTTGGGAATTAATTTGTGCTAGTTTAAATATGATAATGAACAGAAGTTCCAAAACTTTTGGGAAGTGACCATATTCAGATTGATTTGGATTCTTTGGTTCTCGTGTCTTTTAATCATTTGCTTAAATTAAGTAGTTGGAATAATTGACAATGCTATGAATATATGACAAGTATTTCTCTTTTTAAGATTAACTGAACATGTTGAAGTGCATAACAGCCAATTTGATTATATCTAGCCTTTTCTTTAGCTTTTTTAAATAGTTCCCCCTGCCTGATTCCCCCAGCTTTTTTTAATCACAAGTTTCTAATAACAGGTCCACTAGTCTTATGTTGGGAAAAATGAACTTATTTTACTATGCAGGATATGAGTAATAAAAAATAATTTTAGGAAATTCTTGGCAGATTCCAGTCTTACATTTTGGGATAATCTATAAACCTGTGCAGCCAGCTGTTCACTGCTATGTTCTTTAAATCACGAAGGGTTGTTGATTTTAAAGGAATGAGTTATTTCTAGCTTTATTTCATAGGCTGTAGATTTGCATGGCATTTGCTTAAGTACTGAACTCTATTCTCATTTAAAAATAGTGCTTAAACTTAGTTTAGCAGATTTTCAAAACATTTTGTATCAAGCTAAGGGAATATGTGTCTTTTTAAAATAAGGACAGAACTTTGTCCTCTCTGCCCCAGTAATGTTATGTCATAGTCTATGAAAACAATGGATTGCTTCAAATAATTCTGCAGCCTTCAAAAACCGTACAAAGACACTATGTTCTCATGCAATTTTCATAGGTTCTGAAGGCTACACAACATCCGGAGAGTTAGGAGGCCACATGATAGTACACCCTATTCTTTGTGATTTCTATAGTCACATGTGACTTGGGCGTGCTTTGGAGAATAGTTATTGGGTGTTGGTGAATGCTGGAGTGCCACCCAAAACATCTTGGCATTTCACTTTTAATGTGTGTCAAATATTCTCCATCACTGTTCTAATCCCTAAATTGTCTTATAATTTAGAAATGTAATTTGTCATGCATTGCAAGACTACATGGAGATTATCTATCTGTCTGTTTATGTATATACTTATATGCCATATTTTCTGGAGTATAAGACGCACCGGAGTAGAAGACGCACCAAGGTTTTGAAGAGGAAAATTTTAAAAAAAAGTAGCTAGCTAGGTAGATAGAGGGATAGAGAGAGAGAGAGAAAGAAAGAGAAATATAGTAGGGAGGGAGGGAGGGAGAGAGAGAGAGAGAGAGAGGTTAGGTAGGTAGGTAAATAAAGGGATAGAGAGAGATAGAAATAGACAGAGATAGAGAAATACAGTAGGTAGGTAGGGGGAGAGAGTGTAGGTAGGTATGTAGGTAGAGGGATAGAGAGAGAAAGAAAAAAAGAGAGAGAGAGAGAAATACAGTAGACAGGTAGGGAGAGAGAGTAGGTAGGTAGATAGAAGGATAGAAAGAAAGAAATACAGTAGATAGGTAGGGAAAGAGAGAGTGTGTGTAGGTAGGTAGGTAGGTAGAGGGATAGAGAGAAATAGAAAGAGAGAGAAATATAGTAGATAAGTAGGGAGAGCGCGAGAGAGAAGGTAGGTAGCATGAGGCAAAAAATGCTATATTCATTGTATAAGATGCACCCAGATTTTCAGCTTTTCTTTTGAGGAAAAAAGGTGCATCTTATAGTCCGAAAAATACGGTATGTACACCTGTATGTATATATATGTAGGTACATACATACGTATATACATACATACGTACATATGTATGTATGTGTATATGTTCCAATAATAATACTATGCAATTCTAATTTTTCCCATCCTTTTTTACTTCCTAGGTCTAAGCGATCTAATACTGCAGTGAACGAATTTATATTTGAACTTCCAAATTTGACAATTCAAGCTACAAGAGCTCAGAACTTTCTAATGCAAACTATTTGGCAGAGTTGGGCTTATACTGGAAATTCCAATTCATCATTAGTGAATGAAAGTTTAATGAACGAAGTCTTCCAAATATCAGGTAATGACAACATTTGTATGTATCGTGTGTCATTCATTCATTCATTCATTCATTCATTCATTCATTCATTCATTCATTCATATGTTTAAAGTTGAGATACAGTTTTTTAAAAAAATTCTGATGTGATATAAGTAAGTTTGTACATGTAAAAACTGTACAATAAAATGTATTGAATATATTTGAAAAAACTGAATGCACTCATTTACCTAAATAAATAACATATTATTTAAACAAATTAACTGAAGAATCCTCCAGGTAAGCCATTGTATTTTGACTGGCATTAATAAATGTGCTTGTGTCATAATTTACAAAATTGACATTTAGGTTCTTGAAAATAAATCTTAACTAATAGTTTAGTTTATTTCATAGCCATTGCACATCGTATAACAAAATTAAATGCCATCTTCAGTGTACACAGTATAACTATAAAAATTAAAACACAAACACATATCCCTCACATGCTATATAATTGAAATTGAAAACCCTATATTGCATTAATATTACATTATACCATAGACTCCAATATAGTTACTGCCCTGGGATAGAATCAGTTTAAAACTTGCTTTACATATTGGTCAGCAAAAAAACCCTTTGGTTTTCCAACAAGACATTATCATAGCCAACTACAGTTTGCTTTTATAGTTGTTCAATGTATGTGTTTAAAGATCTTTAGTTATCACACCCTCCTTTTTTCTAAAGTATACTGTTCAAAATTTAAGTTAGTAAGAGACAATACTATCCCAGTTTGTAATTGAAGAATTACATTAATAATGTTCATTTAATTTAATTTATTCAATTTAGATGCCATCTGTTTCTAAACTGATGGAAGGCTGTGTTTATCTCCTCTTTGAGAGTTTTCCTAATGTAATTCTTTGTAGTAAGTTTGAAGTTTGGATTCTGATGCGTATGCCAGGAAAATATTAATGCCATTGCACATAGTTTTATTTTATGTAGAAACTGAACCTTGAGAGTGCATTTTTCCTGCTGCATTTAAGTAATTTGTAATTTTGTTGACAGTCCAATTCTATTAATCTCTGTGTGGGGGTTTTAAACAAAATTGCTTGCAGACCTCTAATTTATCTGCTTAAAATGATCAAATAGGCATTTGGAACCCTCATGTAAATGATGTATTAAAGTGAAAATAAAACCTATTTTCCAGAAAGTAACTGCAAAACTATTTTATGGAAGACTTCATGTGGAATACTGTAATGGTTGAATAATAAATTTTACCTCACAAAAATGAAATTCAATAATACAGTAGCTTTCTCAGTGCAGTAGCATCTGGTTAAATCTCAGGAGAGCCAATATTTTCCAACTCATTAGGATCATGTCGTTCTATATGTCGTCAACACTGACTTAGCCAAGCTACCTTTACTTGCATAACCACCAAGCTATTAAATAGGTCTCTTGTGGAGTGAAGTCAAATATTCCTCTTATTTTCCTTTTTCCTTGGAAGAAAAGAAGAAAAGTACATGTTGTAACATTTAAACATCTGGTCAAAACCACATCAGGGTAATGTTGAGGAAAGTAACAGAACTCAGAATTCTTCCCAGGTGTGCATATAAAAGGGTTTTGGATTTGCTACATAGGTTTTTAGCCAGTTAAGAGAAAGATTGGAAAGACAGGCAATTGCTGTTTTAATGCCTCTGAAATCTGTTCTTCCTCCATCCTTTTCTTTCTCCCCCCCCCCCCCAACCTCCCCATCAGACACATTTCTGAACTGAATCGTAATGCAGATTGTTGAGCTTTAATCATTTCCTTCCAATCATCTGGGTTGAAATGTGTGTTCCACGTGATATGTCCAAAACTGACACTTATTCTGAGCACCCTGAGTTAGATTTTAAACTACATACAGTATTGTTTAAGGTATCATTTCAGGGACTAATGAGTTCAGTGCTGTTCTTACCTGTTGCTGTGCCATGAGTACATTAGTTAACTTGATAGATAATTCAATTGTGTCTGAAAGCAGTAAGCTTTAGATCTGATTGCCTTTCTTTGGTTCTAGACCCTCGCCAGTGAAAATTAGCTACTTTAGCCATTGGACCTGTACACCTAGGACTAGAGAAAAGTCTCAGGAAAGTCAAATGTAAATAATATAGTTAATCAGTTGAAAACCCCTCCTCGTGATTTAAAATGACTGTAGGAAGAAAGTGGCAGCCCAGTAATTTTCATGCAAATCTGTGCAAGAAATGAGCACTGCAGTCTTGAGCCAAGATGTATGATGACAGCTGAAAGAGTTTCAAAGAGTGGTGGCAAATATTGGCAGTTGAGTTTTAAAGTAAACTGGCTCAGCCTGTTGTCCTCCCCCCTTCTTGAAAAAAAGTTGCCCCCACTCTTAATCCCATGCTTTCATTACCTGTCACTTTTTTCAATGAAAAGCCAAGTGATTATTTTGTGTTATTTAGGTTTAATTGTATAATGCATCACACTGAAAGAAAAAAGGAGACAATACCAAACATTAGCATCATTGCTTTATATTTACCGGTAAATTGCCAAGAGTTTTCTTGTCTGGATGTCCTGTAAAGCAAATCTAGAGCTTTTTTCCTCCACAAAGAAAAGGCTGCCAACTTCTAACAGTGAATTGTGGTGTACTTTATGTTCCTATTCTGGCAAGACATTGTCATAATGTCACACAAACCTCAAACCTGAACTAATTAATCTATCCAATTAACCCGGAGGGGGTAGATTGAAACCTTAAACAGAACTGTGTTTGTTTGGGGCTAAAGTAACATTCCTCATGCCAAGCAAACTATTTACCTGAGGGTTAACTGTCCCTTCTGATATTTGTGATTTGAGACAAAGTCCCCTGTTAAAGCTTAATATTCTGCCTCTCTGGTGGATGAAGTTTTAACTTCCCTAAATTGTATGAAAGGTTGGAAAAAAAAGAGTACAAGGATTGGATGGATATGAAAAGTACCACATCTGCTATTTCCAAAACCCTTTCTATTTTACACATTTTACTTGCCTAGGAAGAATTAGTAATCTGGACATTTGTGGAATGAGAGAATCATTGAATGTTGCAAGGTTAATAACTTGAGCAGAGAAATGTTCTGGCTATAATGCATAGCAGCAGTGTGTCTACTGCTAAGGTCAAGAGTCATGATGTGGTGGAATGACTATGCTTGACCCTAGTTAAACTTTTCTGCATAGCCATTTTGGACAATGTGCAGGATTCTTTTGAGTGCTGTAATCTTGCAAACATTTATGTATATGTAAATTTCACAGAATATATAAAATTGCCATTGTACATGTTAATGGCTACCAGGATTCTATAAATCTTTTATGGAAAATTTATCATTTGATTTCCTGTTTGAAAGAATGATATTCATCCAGACATCATTACAAACATTGTTGATATTATGGCTACTATTTTCTGATTCTGTGCTTTCAAAAATCTACTTTAGTATTTTCACTGTTATAATTCTTTGTTACATTTTACAGGCTTTCCTGTACCCACACACTTTAGCCCCTTCTAGGGTCCAGTTTTTGAAATGATGAAATTGCTTATCTTGAAAAATGCAAAAAAGAATATTTCCCACAACAAACTGTTATTTATATTTAATTCCAAAATCTTATCGTAAATTGTTGTATATTCCAATTTTGTCTGTACCATTTATAACTTTCTAAAAATCAAAATATTATTTAGCTTTTTACTGTTTATTTCAAATTCTTTAAATTCTTAAGTTTAAAAATTTCTTTTTTCAGGATTGAAAGCTGATTTACCTGGTGCTTTGAAATATGTTCTTCTGAAGATCTCTAATAGCTTAGAAATAGTTAATGAACAATTCATGAAAAAAGTTATCTAATAGCTTAAAAGTAGTTAATCAGCAATTTTGTGATTAGAAAATGAGGTTTGTGAATTTAGTGTCTTTTAAAAGTGTCTGCAGTTGCAAGCAAGAGAGTTAATCCTGTTGTTTCCCAGCTCTCAAACCTGCAGAAAACTTCTGTTCTGTCAGAAGAAATAACATATGGATACTTATTTCTTTGATAGTAAATGGAAGCAATTTATTGTATTCTGAATCTAGTATATACGTAATTTTGCATGTTCCATATTTTTTTCACATAAAAACTTTTATCAGACAATCTTGGCCAGAGTAGCTTTACTTCTGTTTGATGCATGAAAGCCCAGAATAGAAAGGAGAACAAATTATCATCCAATTTACAAATATTTCTGTGTGTCGAGATGTTTCTTGCCATCTAGAAACTTCCATTATAGTGGCTTTTTACAAGCTTATTTCAGGGGATTGTCTTATATGGCTGTATTTAACTGTCAGTTAAATATAGTGTTGGAAAAAGTAGTATAAAATGAGCAGGTTAAAATATTATGGGTTTTCCAAGTACAAGCTGATAAAGCTTTGACTTATCATAGTATATCGGATTTAATTGTGGTTGAAAAGAAGAAAGTGTGGATAATTGATGTGGCAAAACCAGGGAATAGCAGAATAGAAGACAAAGTATTGGAGAAGATCACAGATTATCAAGATCTGAAAATTAAAGTTGAAAGATTTTGGCATAAACTGGCCATGGTGGTTCACTTTGGTTAACAGCGCCTTTGGTGCCATACTAAAAAAGTCTTGGAAGCCACTTAGAAAATCTCTGCATTGACAACATTTCCACCTGTCAATTACCCAAGGCTACATTGCTTGGATCCACACATATTCTACATACTAGATCCTTGGGAAGAGCTCAATGCATGTCAAGGCCAACACCAGCTAAAGAACCAACCGCTGTGATTTTACATTGTTGTAATGATAATTGGAGAAAATCAAAAAATAAAAAGACCTGTAAAGAGATATAGAATGACTGTCACAAAGAAAAAGCAAAAATAGTGCTGAAAACAACAAGCCCTTTTTATGCAATCCCAAAACATCTAGAGCACTACTTGAACATCATTGGTATTGACAATATCACCATCAGTCAATTGAAAAGGCAACTTTATTTGGAACAGGTTGTATTCTGTGGCAATAACTTTAACACCGTCCAACAACCTCTGCCCATTC